TCTCTCTCTCTCTCTCTCTCTCTCTCTCTCCTCTCTCTCCTCTCCCCCCCTCCTCTCTTCACTGACCGAGTGCGATCTAAATACCGTGCACAAGCGGAGTAGATGTGACACAAACGCTAATATGCTCTATACACAGAAACGGATCGTGGCTCGAAGTGGACATCAGCGACCATTGGCCTTTGCTTTGATTTGTGTTACTGGCGGTACCGCGATTAGAATTTCTAACCAGGAATCTGTTATTTCGCGTTAATCATATAAAGCGTAGAATCTGATGTCCATATAGCCGAGAGGTTGAAACTCGGAACATTCGTGCTGCCGGAGCGTCGTTTTGAAATTTCAGAATTACAGTGAATAGTGGAATATCTCGCGTATCCCAACGCTGATAGTTATTTACTCTTTGTTCGTTTATTTATACGCAACCTGATATCACCCTTTTATTGACGAATGTCATAGAAATGTCGCATATCGTTAACAGAGGTGGGCAAAAGCGCAATTTAAATTAAGCGACGAAATAAAACTGGTAAATTTAAACTTCAAATTTACTCCAAATATCCCGTTCTTACATATGTCATATTTAAGGATAGTGGAATCGTGAGCTTAATAAGTTTATAGATAGTATAGAAAGTCCGCAGCTGTAAACGGCCCACGAAGTTGTAAACGGCACGCAAATGGAACGTGCCTCTTGAACGGTGGGCCGCAACGGCGGAGTGGAGTTTCCGCTATATCGGCCGTCTCGAAACGACCGACCGCGGATGCATTACAACTGCAACTGCAACGTGCTAGAATACAAGCCAGACCGAGGTCTACGCGATAGGAATAATTAATACACCTATATATAAGGACGCTAGGGGGGGTAGGAGACGCTTCTACGATATCGTCTCACCGACACATAAAATTGATGTCTACGCTAGGGGCAAGTGGAATCTCCTTCTGAACGCTTTGCCCGAGTCTATAATTTGTCGGCACAAAGCTGAGAATAGTCTCGGCTGTCTTAGATTATGAACACTATGATATCCAGGTGATATTTCTAATAATATGCGTATAAATAAAAGACAAATGTATGAATAATATGTTTGTAATGTCTGCCATTTAATATTTACATATTTATGATACGACTGATTTTCAATTGCCGTTATTTGTTTAACAATTTTAAATAAAAAGATTGAAATGTATCTTACAGATTATATTTATTCTACATTTTGGATGAATTATATTTATTCTACATGATTGGATGAAAAAATAATACCGTTGATGTTCGTTTATCTGCGGTTTATCGTGAAAAATAATTTTCGTGTTTTTCACAAAAATATTGCTGTCCCCATCAAAATACGTATTTGATAACTGTTGCAATTTTTTTTCGCATATGACGGCTATTAAATAAAATCGAAGATAAAATTTGCGGTGTCGTGATGCTTATTGTTGAAACTCCGAAAGTAAAACTTCATTCGTAATACCGGTTAATGCGATTGCAAAGTGACAACTGAAAAAATGTTAACGGACATTTTTATAGAAATTTTACGAAATTTCATGCTGTTACGATTATACGTGTATGTATACTAAATTTCATATGTGTAACGCTTTTTAATTTTAATATATTTCAGCGTTAAAATTCGCATCATTTTGCGATGCAATATATCGGCGAATTTTTGCATGCTCGTTTTTATATTCACACAATTAATGCCATCGATTTCGTTTATACTGCAGGACAGTCGACCTCGTTTTGTCTCAGTAATAAAAAACCTCGCATCTTATCCTGAGATCTCCTTCCATTGTAAGTGTAAAGAAACAGTTCTCAGGAGAGAAACTCTGAGAAGGTTAGTGGGTCGATCGAACGTATTTCGGTACAAGACAACGAAAGAAGGAAAGTTTATGTTACGCTTGCGCGTTTGTGATCACCTCGTCTCAAGCCGCTTAAGATTACGTCGTTTCAAACGCGACCAAGCCATGTGCTTTAAAACAATTACAGGTATACCCCAAGTTTGCGACCAACAATCTTTTCAAATTACAATTTTCCACATAAACGAAAATCGTTCTGTGATTTTCTTTAACGCGCACTTTTACTGTATGCAAATTGTTGCAATTATTTTTCTCGGCTATTACAAATATCGCTCGCAGTCTATAAAATAGCAGAAATTGAATATTATCACGAAGAATATCGTCACGACGATGACTTTTAACATTTATTTAAATAATACGCACTTTTATATTCCGAATGATTAAAAATTGACACAGGATTATTATATAAGAATCATTGACACACCGAGTTTGAGATAGCGTTCATTAACTCGTAAGGGTCAAAAGGTCGAAGCCAGATAACCCGGACAGATGGATCGTCTTACGGAGGCGAAAAAGCGGAACGGGCTTACGCGGCGCGTCCTATTTCCGCTCGCCCGGCCTGTAGGCAATTACTTTCCCGGGGGCATCCTCGTGGAAAGGAGACCGCTTCTAATCTGTTTGCGGTCGAAATCATGCTCTCTGCATTTCCTTAATGAAGACTGTTTCACCTTAACATCCTTAATTTCGCAAAGAATCACGTCTTGTATATGCCGCTTCGTTGATGCCAATACGCGAAAGTCATTGTTTCCGTTCATCCCCTTTATAATAATGTGCTGGAACGTTCATTAATTTTTGTTTTACATCCCACGCAATTGGATTACCTGATAAAATGCCTGAATTATCTGACAAATTAAACTTTCTTCATCTAAATTTCCCTGAGAATCTCATTATTAACCGTAGAATTACCATGACTTGTGATATTGTGGCGACGTACGTTCCCATTCTAATTTGTCTGTAGCATGACATTAGATTCCCTAATACTTTGCTAACAAACTAGTGCTTAATTGTAACATC